TTATTCTTGCATATAATTTATATTTATTTGTTATTATACAAATTAAGTCTTTATATAGTTGATATATAATTACTTATTTAAATTAATCAATAAAGATATGAGCAAGGCCTCACCTTAATACCAAAAAAAAAAAAAATTTTTTACAAGCAAAATAGTGTAACAAATCATGCGACTGATATGTTTTTTTCTTTATATAAATAAAGAAGAAATCATATAGTCATGAAGGCTAAAATACTTATATCTTGCAATTTGCTGGGCTAATTTTAGTATTTTAACTGTCATTTGATTGCAAAACACTATTCTATAACTTTACTTAGAAGCTTAAAAGCAATTTACTAAGCTAAGCTTTAAAAATCATAATATTTTTTATAATTTTATTAATAAAATTATAGAAAATATTAAAATCTATAAAATTGTACTAATTAAAGCTATCTTTATGTTCTAAGTAAACTTGCTCTATATATAACAATACATCATATCAATATATATTTATTTTATAATTTTAAATTTTAAAAGAAACAATATTTAATTTTGAATTTTTGATTAAAATTAAGCATCTTTCTCTTAAAATTTAAAATTATAAAGTAAATATATATTAATATAATATAATTTCTGCATAGATTAGGCTTACTTAGAACATAAAGTAGATTTAATTAGTAAAGATTTAAGAATTGTAATAGTTTTTATAATTTTATTAATAAAATTATAGAAAATATTAAAATGTATATACAAAACTATAGCATATTGGTATATGCTTATTTTATAATTTTAAAGTCTAAAAAAAAGATGCTTAATTTTGAAATTTTAAATTTAAAATTATAAAAGAGTGTGGTGACTTAGTGAAGTGGTCTAGTTGTCACCCCACCAAGTAGCAGGTTGAGAGTTTGAATCCTATAAGGAGGCATCCATATTTAACGTTAAACGATGTTTGTAGTACCAGATGCATCCCGATGCAATATAAGCATATCGCTATGCCTAATATAGAGCAAGGTTGGTAAAGCCACGATTTTTGAAAAAACTGTTGGTTAAACATACAAATGTGTACTCATTATATGTATGCGCTCATTCTGTAAGAGCACGTTTTTTTTTTAAATAGTTCCGGCAACTAATAAAATTATACTTCAATCATACATATGCGCTTATTCTGTAAGAGCACTTTTTTTTTTTAAATAGCTTCGGCAACTAATAAATTATACTTCAATTATACATATGCGCTCATTCTGTAAGAGCACTTTTTTTTTTAAATAGCTTCAGCAACTAATAAATTATACTTCAATCATACGTATGCACTCATTTCGTAAGAGCACTTTTTTTTTTTAAATAGCTTCGGCAACTAATAAAATTATACTTCAATCTAATTTATTCACCACTTACAAATACCTAGTGATCTGAGTTAATTGGTTACATATTTGCGCAGGGTAGGTGTTATTTTCACATTTATGTAGGGATCCGGTGCTTTAGTATTTAAGAGTTAAAGATCTGGTGTTTTAGAGTTTATTTGTAGGTTTCACTTCGTAGTTTTTGGCATCATCGTTTAGGTGCTCTTATGAATATGGATTTTGTCGTTTGGGTGGCTCCACTGTATCGTCGTTTTATTGAAGCCTTCTGGTATTACTGTTGATATGGATCTCATCACTTGGGGTGGTTTTGTATAGTCGCTTTACTGAAGTTTTCTGTTGCTCCGGGTTTCGTTGCTTCCGGTGTTCTTGTGTGTAGATTTTGCCGCTTGTAGTAGCTCAGCATCATTGTGAAGTTTGCTACTTGTAGGTTAAGTATAGATCTCATTGTTTGTGACATTGTCAACCTCGTTATTGTACTTTGCAAGAACTTTACACTAGTTAAACTATTAATTAGTTGATTGAATTTTGAGTTTCACTAGGATTAGAGAGAATTCAAAGATTGTTATCAGAATAGACTTGGAATTGAATATAATATAATGTTGGATATTGCTATTCAAATAAAATTGTAGCTGAAAAGACGAACATAAGGCATTTATATATTGGTAAGATACAAGTGTTTATGTTCTTTATTTGTGAACTTGTTTTGCTAATTACTAATAAATAATCTTTATATTCAACGCTGAATAAAATGGTTAAGGCAAATTAAATGATGATTTGAAGGGTATTATCAATAAGTATTTTTTTTTTTTTATGCGTGAAACTTTTGTTTCAATTACAGGCTGAATGAATTATTAATGTAAATAAAATTATTTAAAGATACCGTATAGCACTGACTACAGTACTCCTTGCTATAATACCCCCAATAGAAAAGACCCAGGTACAATTCATGGGTTTATGATTTAGAAAATTGAAAAAGACCCGGGTATAGATATATATATACTTAGACTTGAAGTCCTTATTAAATAATATTGAAGCTATGTAAAGTACCCCCTTATTATAATACCCTCTCCTATAATTAGTACCCAGGTGGGTACTATTCAAGAAATTTGATAGTTTATTGAAAAGTACCCAGGGTACTGTAGTCAGTGCTGTATGGTACTAATTATACAATGGTAAAGGTTTTTTTAATTAGAATTAGGGGTTTTGATCTTTATCTCTTCATTCATCTCTTCGGTTACCCTTTCGTTTATCTCTCCGGTTACCCTTTCGTTTATCTCTTCGGTTACCCTTTCATTCATCTCCTCGGTTATCTTTTCGTTCATCTCTTCGGTTACCTTTTTGTTCATCTCTTCAGTTACTTTTTCATATATCTTTTCATTCATTTATTCGTTTGCTTTTTAGAGGTTTAGTTTAAGGTTATAACTAAAAATTGGATCTACTGTATTTTGCTTAAAGGTGAATTATATATTTTAAATAATATAAAAATATATAAAATAATAATAAATTTATTTATTTGAAGACTGAGTTTTCGCTTTAATTTTATTAAGTGTTTTATTTTTTTCTTTACTATAATTTGTTTATATACATTACTAAAATTCGAGTTTAATAACTAAATTCGCGTTCGATAACTAATTCTTTTCCCAATTCGCTATCTAAAGATGGGCAAGGTAATAATATAAGTAAATAATAATACTTTACTAAACTTGCCTGTCTCTACGCTATCTAATCTTCGTGCTCCTATTATTTTTTAATTATATCACTAACGTCATACTTAAAACTAATCTCTAAATTAATCGATTCATAATTGAGATTTGATCTATTTAACTATTTTGACCTGATCAAATTAAGTGATTAAAACTCCCGACCCTGATTAAATTAATCAATTAAGTGATTTCACGTGGATACGTGACTATATTGAGCGATATTCATGTCCAGTTCTCAATAATTTTGAAGCTAAAACAGGGAATTCTATTGAAGCTATTTTCCTATACAATAACTTATTGATATGCTCTAAATTAAATATAATTATTGAGGCACTAATTCAAAAAAAGAAAAGTAATAATAATTCATATTATATATTAGCACAGGTAACGTTATTATAATAGTACGTATTGAACAAAATTCTTAAAGCGTATCTACCATATTTGTATCGACAAAAATCTCTTAAACGTACTAGTCACCTTCAAAAGACAAATTTAACATTGTTTGCTTAATAATATGTCTAATCGAGAATACCGGTATTTTAATTGCATTTATACTTCCATATTCATATCATCAAGAATTCGCATAACCATATTCGAACCGAGGTACTAATTCAAAAAAGAATAGTAATAATAATTCATATTATATATTAGTACAGGTAATGTTACTATAATAGTACGTATTGAACAAAATTCTTAAAGCATATCTACCATATTCGTATCGACAAGAATCTCTTAAAAGTACTGGTCATATTAAAAAAAAGTAAAACCTAGGGCTAATCCTGAAATGACAGTAAATTTAACATTGTAAGCATATATTTTATATAAATAAATTTGAACATATCTATAGAGAATATTATAATCATATCCATACTTCCATATTTATATCAACAAGGACTACTTAATATAGTGTACTACTGTATTCGAAAGTTAAATTCTGGAAAAAGACATTAAATTAATATAGATATTCTAAGTTAGATTCTAGCTTATGTATTGTAGATGAAGTATGTATATTTTCATTTGTAAAAATCATTGAATATTAGACCGTGTTATATAAATACATATGCTCTAAAATGATATAAAATAAATAATTTTATCTTCAAAATTATCCAATAAATTTTGGATCTTGTAAAATATTTCTGCTGTGTAAAACTCTGTGAACAAGTTCTTACAAATAAATTGACTCGATATCTGATACTATACCAGTAAGAGATTCAATTTATCTTTCCATTCTAATTGTATACTTGTACGATATTTTACCATAACGAACCTTCTTCAAAACAATAATATAATCGCCATAATTATTTTTTAATACTCCAGCACATTCCAAGAACAAAATATTCTTGTTACCAATTTTACAGTAAGTCTTTAATTCTTGAACAAATTCTCGCTTATTTTTGTTTGAATCACAAATCACTAAGTGTTTTATTTGTATTCGATCTTGATTCCAGAGTAATCTAAAAACAACTCATTAAAAAAATAAAATAAGAATTAACAACGAGTAGAAATGGTTAAAATTCGAGAGGTGCTAGCTCAAAGACGCAATTTCTCAATTAAGTTGGAAGTTACAGCGTCTTGAAGTATTAGAGAATAGAGAAATGATCTCTGATGTTGATAAAGAAAAAAAAAACAAGTTTTCAAAGTGAACTCGAATCATCACTAAAAGCTTTGAATAAATTAGAATACTACCAATGATCTCAACAGAAGTATAGATCTCAGAAAAGGCAGAAGCTTTAGCAGATGGAAAAGCAGCTTAAAGAAGCAGGTTTCGATATACAGCTTGTTAGGCCAACAGTTGGTCGTCCAAGTTTAGAAGAAGCATGGCTAGGTTTATTAGAGGCTATTGTTCAGATTGTTTATTCAGATAGACAGGCTGATGAAAGATGGCATTTAGAATTAATACGATCCGTCAAGACTTTAGACCAGCTCCAAAAAGCATTGACAAATATGAACTATAAATTGTCATGCTCTGTGACATATCTTAGGCTAATTTCAAGACGGCATAATAGCAAAGAAGGAAAGCGACACATTAAAACGGTGCCAGTGAAGCTTCTAAGATCTCAAAATTCAGCAAAAAGAAGCCATGATAATACCATTTCTGCACTGCTTTAATAAGAAATATAAAAGAAATGGTGTCATTATTGGGTCCCAAAAGTGCTTTAGTAATATTTCAAGATAATAAAGCATAAATACCTCTCGGTTTAGCCGCGGCCAACAAACAAGGTTACTATAATTTAAAATAAAATAGAATTACTAAAATAAATAAATAAAAAGATAAAACTTACTAATAATAATTAATTAATTCATATAGCACCGATTCTTATGAAGTTGAAATATCGAGTAGAACTGCCGGATCATGATTGGGTTGTTGCTGAAAGGCATAAACTGATCCCTTCAGTTTATGCAGTATTAGACGTACAAGAAGGTAAATATGAACAAGCTGAAGCAATAACATATTCAGGCCCAACGTTTATAAGAATTCATAGTGGTAAACATGATAGTAGTACTGCTTACCAAAGACTTCGATGACCTGATGGTTGAGGAAAAATTGTACAACTTTACTATGACGGACGGCCAGCCTAAACCCATAGTGGTAATGATAAGTAATAGTGGATCCAACAAAAATCCATGCTATAGAAAAACAGTTCAGGTAATAGTAGATCACTTTATTAATATGATCTTGATACTATCATCGTGGCATGCTATGCACCACACCAGAGTGCATCCAATCCAGTAGAAAGACGAATGACACCCTTAAGCCATGACTTAGCTGGTATAATCCTCCCATATGATACTTTTGGATCACATTTGGATGCACAGTTAAAAGACAAATAATGAGGAATTAGAAAAACGCAATTTCAAAGCGGCCAGAGATGTTTTGACAACAGTGTGGGAGGATACAATTATCAATGATTATCTGGTACTTGTTAAGTATGTAGAACCTTCCGAAGAATCCTACTGCCCAAATAAAAAATCAGCAGCTTGGATGGAAAAACATGTAATGACTTGTCATTATATGACTCAAGTCATAAAGTGTGATGATCCAAGCTGCTGTAAACCTTTTCATAGTGGAATCAAACAGTTCCTTCCAAATCACTTTTTCCCACCACTTCTGATCCAACAGAAGCTTCATAGTATTTGTACAGCAAGCATGGGCATATCTGATAATACAACTCACTTTGGTGGCTTTCTTCTCTCTATATTAATAGAAGAAAAGTTAACTCCTCCGGACGCAAATCTACAGTATTTTCCCTTCAATTGGTATTGCCCAACCATTAATAAATCAATTAATGAATATCTCCGTTTTTATTGTAATTGATACTATGCTTTAAAAGGGGCGTTGAAAATCCATACTAGAAAATATAAAAAATACAACTTATCTAAAGAGCCTGTTTTGGACATTCAAGATTATGAAAGTAGTGAAACTATGCAGGTAGATGAAGCAGTGCCGGAAGATTTGTTAGAAATCTACTCTCAGCAAATGCAAGTTCAAGAAAAGTTGATTGCAGATAGAGTATTAATAGTTGACTGAGATACTTGGAAGCAATGCAAGTGGGCAAATGAATAATTAATTACTTTTAATTACTTACTATACATACAAGGTTAATGCGTAACATTGTTCCTGTTACATTAAATTTATATATTTCTATATTTTGACTTTTGTATCACTACTGCTTATAATTATAAGAATTAATTAATAAGGACTTTAAGTCTAAGTATATATATACCTATACCCAGGTCTTTTTCAATTTTCTGAATCATAAACCTATGAATTGTACCCGGGTCTTTTTCAATTTTCTGAATCATAAACCCATGAATTGTACCCGGGTCTTTTCTATTGGGGTATTATAGCAAGGGGTACTGTAGTCAGTGCTATACGGTAATATTTGTAAATTATTAATTGATCTGATAGAATTCTAAAAACTACACCTCTATCGAATAAAGCCACGGTATAAAAACATAAAAGAAGGTATATACTGAATATAAGATAGGCTTTTATAATAAATATATAATGCGAGTAGACACTAATAAAAAAAAGTTCATTATGATCAAGAATTTATTGGCAATTTATTCATTACAGTATAAATTATTATCGAAATCACAAAGTTAAAGATATGCTCATTATTACGTAATCGCATATTGTCGAAATCATAAACTTATCGATTCGGCATTCGGTCAATTTTTTAGCAAAATTTATGAGAACAGCTGTAATGATAGTGAGGATTTAAAATTATAACTATACAAAACAGGATTCCTCTTTATTAAATAGAAGTTTTAGTTCTATATATTTGATTAATATAAAAGAACACTTTCTGGAACCTATCAGAGACACACATTATCATATTAGTCTCGTCAGTATGCTTCATAATCGATTGATTAATTAATCGATTTATCAATTAATCAGTAATTGGTCGATTAATTGATTAATTGATTAGTTAAGTATCTGGTATCCTTGTATGTATGTATCGCACTTGGAATTATGGACTGCTTATATCGATTTTCTCTACAGGCTATTTATCTGATATCACGCAGATGACAATTTATTAAAAATATAACCTGCAACTAACCAATACTAACTCTACTTCATATGATGTCGGGCTAGCTGTAATAAACTTTGAATAAATAAGTAAAATTTTAATTATTATATACCGTAAAGTGCCATATGGTAGATCTCCCTATAAGATATACCCTGTGATGATTTGTGAGCTTAAATTTGATTTATATCCAGGTACAATTATGATAAAGTTCAATAAATAGTACCTCTATACTTTGGAGAATACCCGGTCTTTTCAAAAAAGCCGGTGTAGATTGAATAATACCCCCAAGTATTGGGAGATAGGAGAATAATACAAATAATCGTTGTTGATCAATATATATTTTGCTATCAGACATATCAAATCTAATAAAAAGATCACACATTAATTATGAAAATTGGCTGCAAATCGCTTGTAAAAAAAGGTAGATATTATCCCAGGGGTACTATATGCAGCGCTATACGGTAGTTGGTCAATCGATTAAAATCATGTTGTAATAATTAATCAATTAGTTGCCAACTTGATCAACTAATCGATTCATAACACTAGCTTTAATAATCACGATACTAATTTCAATTATAAAAGAAAAATTCATAATTAATTCATTTAATTTAATTATAAATTATATCCTAATATCTGGTTTTTCTTTAAATCGGATTCACCACTAATTTTATTAGCATTACCTATCTCCACGCCTCATCTTTATTCTTATCAGCCCCAATTTCATTTTTATAGCAATAGCCAAGACCGAAGTTTTCACTAGAATGACCCATCTTGGCAAATTTTTGATAACATTTGAATGCGTATATTTATTCTTGACTTCAGGCACATCTATAGAAAAAATTATATAATTAAAAACTATATTATCGTTCAAGAATATAATATGAAATAATAATAATATACTATTTATCGTCCTTTCTATTCTGTGAAAATGTCTTATAGTTAATTTTATCATGATTGAGTAATTTTGCAAAGTCACCATGCTTTTTTGTTTGAAACATGTTTTTAAGCACAAATGAAAACTCAAAGTCGATTCGTAGACCTGAATTTTCCCAAATTCTGTATTAAAAAAAAAAGAACTTAGACACAAAAATCACATATTGAACATTAATTAATTCTTTTCAATAGTAGTACCTGATTTTGCGAAATGTTTTTTCTTGCCACATAGCACTTGAAACATAGTAGATTAACATCCCTAACTATAGGGTAATAAGTACATATTTTAACAAGTGGCAAATAGAAGAAAAAATTTAACAGATCTTTATTTGGATAATCAGGATCAAGACGTAAATCATATGATTTAGACTTTTCTAGCAAAAATCCTATACATTCACGTAACACTAAAAAATAATCACCTTATTTCCCGTTAGTAAGTATGAAAGAAGTCCTGTACGCTGCATTTAGTACCATTGGCCACCATATACAGTATCCCCAAAAATAATATCTCATGATTAATACCAGGTTATTATTCACCATCCCTATCATCCTGTTTCTTGAATAAGACCCGGATCTTAACTCAGCTGCTTTCATGTAATATTCGAAAGCCTTCTTTTCATCTTTTTTAATGCCAATACCATCATCTTCATAATTGCAGCCAACAACATAAATCGCATCCGGATCTCATAACTCAGTTGCTTTCATGTAATATTCAAAAGCCTTCTTTTCATCTTTTTTAACACCAATACCATCTTCATAATTGCAGCCAATAGCATAAGTCACACCCGGGTATAACTATATTGATTTACTACTTTTAATATAATATTTCTCCAAATATAGTTTTTCATACAGTATCCACAGGTACTATTCAATTTTAAAAATGGAGTTCTTGAATAAGACCCCAGGTACTGTATATATACGAAGTGGCAATAACCAAAAATCAATCTACAAACTCTACTATCATTTTCAGATACTCTTTTGCTATTTCCAATAGATTCATTGGCTATTCGGTTCATTCTTTTATATTATTATTTTTAAGCACTATTTATTAACAAATAATAACAGAAAAAATCTGTCTTACACATTTTTAATGATTCTGAAAATAGACTTTTTTTTTTAATCACCCCAATATATAAAAAAAAATTGTTATATATATTTTTGACCAATTATAATTGGTTAAATACAAATTAACTAATTCTGTAATTATAATTGATTAAATTTGGCTGTCACATAGTACATACAAGGTAATAATAATGATAAGATGAACTTCATCTTAATATATATATAGGTTAAAAAAAAAGCTATATGGAATTATATTTTCATTCTATAAACTCTCTATCGAACCAAAACAATAATAACTTTAACTCATATTCATTTATAGATAAAACAATATGAATGCAGAATTAGATTCAAACAAAATACAGTAAGTTATACCATATATTCAAAACCTGTTCATTATAGCCATTTCAGGAGTTTGTTCTCTTAAAATACTTAATAACACAATTATTTTGAGTGTCTGTTCGTTTTCAGGTGCCCAGTTTTCTTCGTCACTTGATATATCAATTATTTCAGGTATTTTGTCCTCTTCATTACTTGATAACTCAATTATTTCAGGTACCTGGTCCTCTCTACTATTATTTTTAAACACCCTTTCAATAGAATTATTGATTATTTCAGGTACCCGGTCCTCTCTACTATTAGTTTCGCTTTCTCTATTTGCAATAGAATCATTGGTTATTTCAGGTCGCTTTTTTATAAGCTCTAATTCACCATTTCCATAAAATATATATTGTTCATTTATTATGGTATCTACTGGTTCGATTGCTATTTCTTTGTATTGGATATCACTTTCAAACAAAACCACTTCTACTTCTGTATTTTTTGTATTTTTTGTGAAGCCAGACATGGTTCCAAAGAACCATATGGTTGCCATGAATGGTAGTGTGGATTGAGTGGAAAACTATTGGGCCTTGCTAGCAATATAGTTATGCTCAGCGTTAATATATGTCTTATGTTCTTTGGTTTTTTTGTGTGCAACCAAACTATTAAATAAAGCTTCAGATAACTCATTGTTATAATTTAGAAAACTGTGTAAAGAGGTTATCGTTCTTACAATTCCATCTTCTATACTATAAGTTGGATTGAAAGTGCATTTAACTTTGGTTAAACACCATTTAATATATTTACCTTGATATTGTTTATTTTTAGTACTTTGGAGAGGTGTCAATTTTATGAAAGCCAAAAATCTAGCACCAGTCTCATCAACATCGACTGGAAAAGAAGTACGAATTTTGTCTCTAAAAATATAATGGTTTGTATCTTGGTAATATATAGTAGGTGGGTGATTTTTTTTCTTGAAATAGAGATTGGATGCTTTTTTTGCTTTTGGGAGTCTAGATGGCATTTTGACAGGAAAAAAAAGTATAGATACATTAACACCAAGAAAAATAGATACTATTATATATTTTCCGAGTTAGTGCTATATTTTACAAAGATGTCTTATTTAATATACAAATATTCAAATAAGAATTCTTAATGAGTATGTTTTAAGTTCTTATTACTCTAATTTGGAAGACATTATTATGTTAATAATGCCAATTTTATTTTAATAATTTAGCTATCTTTTCTGGATTAGCGCTAAGAGTCTTCTTATTGTATTATATCGTAGGACATATTTTTGATTTTGATAAATCTATTCAATGTGTATTATTATAGTAATGTTATCTGTGCTAATATATAATACGAATTATTATTACTTTCTTTTTTTGATTTAGTAACTCAGTTCGAATATGGTTATGCGAATTCTTGATGATATGAATATGGAAGTATAAATGCAATTGAAATACCAGTATTCTCGATTAGACATATTATTAAGCTAACAATGTTAAATTTGTCTTTTGAAGGCGACCAGTACTTTTAAGAGATTCTTGTCAATACGAATATGGCAGATACGCTTTAAGAATTTTGTTTAATACATACTATTATAGTAACGTTAGCTGTGCTAATATATAATATGAATTATTATTACTTTTCTTTTTTTGAATTAGTGCCTCAATGATTATATTTAATTTAGAGTGTATTGATAAGTTATTGTATGGGAGAATAGCTTCAATAGAATTCCCTGTTTTAGCTTCAAAATTATTGAGAACTGGACATGAATATCGCTCAATATAGTCACATATCCACATGAAATCACTTAATTGATTAATTTAATTAGGGCTGGGAGTTTTAATCACTTAATTTGATCGGGTCAAAATAGTTAAATGGATCAAATTTCAATTATGAATCAATTAATTAGTTTTAAGTATGACGTTAGTGATATAATTAAAAAATAATAGGAGCACGAAGATTAGATAGCGTAGAAACAGGCAAGTTTAGTAAAGTATTATTATTTACTTACATTATTACCTTGCCCATCTTTAGATAGTGAATTGGGAAAAGAATTAGTTATTGAACGCGAATTTAGTTATTAAACTCGAATTTTAGTAATGTATATAAACAAATTAAAGTAAAGAAAAAAAATAAAACACTTAATAAAATTAAAGCGAAAACTCAGTCTTCAAATAAATAAATTTATTATTATTTTATATATTTTTATATTATTTAAAATACATAATTCACCTTTAAGCAAAATACAGTAGATCCAATTTTTAGTCATAACCTTAAACTAAACCTCTAAAAAGCAAATGAATGAAAAGGTATACGAAAAGGTAACCGAAGAGATGAACAAAAAGATAACCGAAGAGATGAACAAAAAAGTAACCGAAGAGATGAACGAAAGGGTAACTGAAAAGATGAACGAAAGGGTAACCGAAGAGATGAACGAAAGGGTAACTGAAGAGATGAATAAAGAGATAAAGATCAAAACCCCTAATTCTAACTAAAAAAATCTTTACTATTGTATAATTAGTACCATATAGTACTGACTACAGTACCTGGGTACTTTTCAATAAACCATCGAATTTCTTGAATAGTACTCACCTGGATACTAATTATGGGAGAGGGTATTATAATAAGGGGTACTTTACATAGCTTCAATATTATTTAATAAGAACTTTAAGTCTAAGTATATATATGTCTATACCCAGGTCTTTTTCAATTTTCTGAATCATAAACCCATGAATTGTACCTGGGTCTTTTCTATTGGGGGTATTATAGCAAGGGGTACTGTAGTCAGTGCTATACGGTACCTTTAAATAATTTCATTCGCATTAATAATTCATTCAGCCTGTAATTGAAACAAAAGTTTCACGCATAAAAAAAAATAAATACTTATCAATAATACCCTTCGAATCATCATTTAATTCGCCTTAACTATTTTATTCAGCGTTGAATATAAAGATTATTTATTAGTAATTAGCAAAACAGGTTTACAAATAAAGAATATAAACACTTGTATCTTACCAATATTTGGTAATAAATAAATGCCTTATGTTCGTCTTTTCAGCTACAATTCTATTCAAATAGCAATATCCAACATTATATTATATTCAATTCCAAGTCTATTCTAATAACAATTTTCGAATTCTCCCTAATCTTAGTGAAACTCGAAATTAAATCAACTAATTAATAGTTTAACTAGTGTAAAGTTCTTGCAAAGTACAACAATGAAGTTGACAATAGCACAAACAATGAGATCCACATTTAACTTACAAGTGGCAAACTTCACAATGACGCTGAGCCACCACAAGTGGCAAAATCTACACACAAGAACACCAGAAGCAACGAACCCCGGAGCAACAGAAGACTTCAGTAAAGCGACTACACAAAACCACCCCAAGTGATGAGATCCATATCAACAATAACACCGGAAGGCTCCAATAAAACGACGATGCGGCGGAGCCACCCAAACGACGAAATCCACATTCATAAAAGCACCTAAACGACGATGCCAAAAACTACGAAGTGAAACCTACAAATGAACTCTAAAACACCATATCCTTAACTCTTAAATACTAAAGCACTGAATCCCTACATAAATGTGAAAATAACACCCACCCTGCGCAAATATGTAACCAATTAACTCAGATCACTAGGTATTTGTAAGTGGTGAATAAATTAGATTGAAGTATAATTTTATTAGTTGCCGAAGCTATTTAAAAAAAAAAGTGCTCTTACAGAATGAGCGCATACATATAATGAAGTATAATTTATTAGTTGCTGAAGCTATTTAAAAAAAAAAAGTGCTCTTACAGAATGAGCGCATATGTATAATTGAAGTATAATTTATTAGTTGCCAAAGCTATTTAAAAAAAAAAAGTGCTTTTACAGAATAAGCGCATACGTATGATTGAAGTATAATTTTATTAGTTGCTGGAACTATTTAAAAAAAAAACGTGCTCTTACAGAATGAGTGCATACGTATGACGAGTACGCGTTTGTACGTTTAACCAACAGTTTTTTTGAAAATCATGGCTTTACCAACCTCGCTCTATATTAGGCATAGCGATATGCTTATATTGCATTAGGATGCATCTGGTACTACAAACATTGTTTAACGTTAAATATGGATGCCCCCTAAACGACGATTTTCAAATTTAATCCTGTGTTATAGTAACTATCGTCCACATCGGAGAAAAATGCCTGTAACCCATTAGCATACCAAGAATTAGCAATACCGGGATTTGGAAGATTTGGGGCATTGTGCAACCCTGTATGCTAGGGAAATACAAGGAATACTAGCCAGTTAAATGTGATGCAAACCCATAATAAGTCCAACAGATCGGTGCATATGGGAATAATTATCGGATGATGAAAGTCTACTTGTGAAGTTTCGAATATGGCATTCATAGCTAGAACTACTTAGTTTCGGCTTTGAAAGAATACAAACCAGTATACTGTAATAGATGGTGTAAATACAAGATAAACCTATATAAGGGCAAAAACACTTGTATTTAAAGTAGGACTAAATACTCGACTATTCAATTACATATATACTTATAAACACAATAACCTTAATAAGATTCTATAACTAAGCATGTAATCACAAACACAAATGTAACAAATCACCAACTATAAAAACATTCATTAGTATAAATACAAACACATTCCTTCTATAGGTCTAAGATCCAAGAATAGAACATTAAAAACCTGGGTAACCAGGTTGGGGTGGTCCTCGAAAATATTAGCCACCTCTGACAATACAATTGAACACTATATCTCACATAACAAAGAAGCATAGATATTGTTTCAGGACATGTCCAAAGCATTTGATAAGATCAATATTAATCGTCTGCAAGATGCCTGTCACAGAATAGGCATCCTGACTGATGGTATAAATCTAATTACTGAACTACACACCTCTCGTTTAGCTAGAGTAATCACTGCACATGGTCTCACATCACCAATTCATATTGAATCTGGCATAGAACAAGGAGAAACCTACTCTCCTCTACTATGAAAGATCTATTATGACCCTATTCTTATCTATATTTCTCAAAACTACAATAACTCTTTCTTTAAAATATCTACGCTCTCACCACTTGATATTATTTCTAATTCAAATCCTACCTCTATCACTATTCCACCATTAGCCTATATTGATGATACCGTTTGGCACTGTGAATGCTCTGAAGATCTACAAAATATTCTCAATAATGCCTCTTTTTTATACAAAATCAATAATATAGAAGTTAACCTAACAAAATCAGATCTGCTTCATATATCCCCAAAAAACTCCAAAACAATAAACTATACTCTTACATTTAATAATCAAACAATTTTTTCCACAAAACCTACAGACATAATTAAATATCTAGGTATCTACTATGATGGCTCTGGTTCATCCAAACCAACCCTTGATACAATATATAACAAAATAGAAAACTTTCTAATATTTATTCGCTATAAAAAATTACTACCCTCTCAAATTTCCTCTCTATTCAATCTTATATTACAACCTTCCTTAGAATATCTATTGCAAATCATCTCAATGCACAAAAACACTCAAACCAACCTTTCTCGACTTTTTTCTATTTAAACAAAAAGAATGCTCTCACTTGCTAAAAATACTAATAATATTACTCTAACTAATCTACTTACTTTTAACTTACCTACCCTTAATAACATAATACAGAAAGTTAGTGCTTCAAATACTGAACGTATATTTAATTCTTTCTCACTTCTTCACACTATTGGCATTGCGTATATTAAATCTTGGCTCTTCAAAACTTGGTCAGCCAATCTATCGAACGAAATACTTCTTCGTCACTATCGTAAAACACAAAACTACACTCTCCTTTTTCACCTCTCACAACTAGCCAAAAATAATATAACAATCTCCTCTATTCCTCAAATCGCAACCTTCTCCTCTTCTATTCCAGAACACTCACATTTAATTTACGATATACTTCCAACAACTCCTAATAATCTTACAATTAACAGTCTCAAAAATAACAAAATTCTCTTTATTGAACAAAT